AAACCCTAAACCCTAAACCCCTATAGGGTTCCAAGGCTCCCAAATCTCCAAAAAAATCTGAACCCCCGAACCCTCTGTAAGCACAAGGCCCCCCCAGAAAGCCGAGGTCGGTTCGAGCATCCGACTTCGCTTAGAGACGACGGACGGCAGCTGGGCTTTCATTGCATCTTCTATGTGGGATTTAGTGAGTTTGGGGCTTTCGTTTAGGGTTTAGGGTTTTCAGAGTTGTTGTTTTCGAGGTTTATGGGGTTTAAGGTTTAAAGCTTGAGCCGGACATTTTGGGGTCTTATGGGGTGTTTCACAGGAATTCCCAATGCATTTTGTTAAAGGTAGCCTAGCCAAGGAAAGCACTTTTATTGACGATATGTTGCTATTCTGGTAGGATGAGCCAAGGTCCAACCCTGCACCCCAAACCCTGAACCGTAGACCCTAAACCCTAGACTAAAGATAAACACCCGACACGTGTCATCACGTCACGCATCTTTTTTTTTTCTGGGAGCTGTTGTGCATTTTGGTTGCAACGGGTTTGGTATTCAGTGGCATTTTGCTGCATTCAGCAATGTGAGCCACAAGTTTTTGTTTTAGGAAACGGAGATTGAAGCGGTCGAAATGAAGAAGCAGACTGCGCAAGCCGAGTGCGTATTACACTATGCTGTCGCAGCGCCGTAGTTGCGGATGTGGCGTTCCCGCTGGAAGGCGTCATGCGCCCGGCAGCGCACGTGGCATCCATCCTATCAGCGGCGCTGCGGCAGCAGGGTGCTTGCGTGCTGCAAAGCATATATAAGTGCGTTTGCCTCACGGCTTGAAGCCGTTATTTTGAAGGCTGCGACTGGCATACGTGTGACATCTGTCGTCTGGGGTAGTCCACATCCAAGTTGCTTCGCGAACCCGCCCCAACAGGCGGAACGTGTGAACTCGGGCTGGGACGACGAGGGGGAGCCAGAAGAAGCAGAGCTGGCAGTGGTGCCGACCACTGGTGGAGGCATTTGCCTACCAGTGCCGACGCTTCCCTGACTCGAGAATATGGGTGCGGGCCATGCCCCGATACTCTAATCAGTTAATCTACCAGGGCCCTGCCTTTCCAGAGGTCATGGGCCCGAAGTGTACGCCTATGGCCTCCGAGCAGTCGGGGTGGCAGCGCCTGTGTTCACCCGGCATAAGGTTCAGAGCAAGTTTAGGGTTTGTAATTCATGGTAGCCTTGAGGAGCGATTCACGGACGGCCCTCCCCCTGAGGGATCCCAGAATGTAAGGCTTTTAATAAACCTCTATCCAGATCAACCATCCTTACACCCAAAGCCCTAAACCTACAAGCCTAAACCTACACCCTAAACCCTGCACAACCCTACACTCAGCCCTAAGTCCCAACAAGCCTTCTAAGGCCAGGCCCCACATTTGGTCGCCCATCTCTCAGCCATGGTGGTGAAGCACGGATGCTTGGTTTTCTTTCTGGGCACAGGAGTTCGGTCCCACAGCGGTCGTGATAGTTTGGTTGTCAGGACTTTTGTAGCTTGAAGAGGGGGTCCCTAAACCCTAAGCCTTGGAGGGCTGCATGAGGTTTATGGGAGATCTGACTTGATGACCTGGATAGTAGCTTGTTCTCACGGGTCCAAAGGGGCTTAGAGGGTTTTACAGACTTTTTTTGCTCTGAGCTCAATACCCTGTAACATTAACAAATCTTGAAAATGAGGCGTATAGGCTCTCTGTATCCCAATCTGTCAGATAACTTAGATAGCGGGCTACAATTTCGAGAAGCCCAACTCTGTGCAACTCATTCTTACCGTGCGTACTACCCCCGCCATGTTTACTGTGTTATTGCTCTCTCTTCTCCTGCCCCCTAACATGCATCTCTTTCAAAAGCAGAAACCGCCTGTCCACAGAACAGACGGAGGAAAGAAAGCAGGAGGATTCCCTAAGATAAGCCCTGGATACTATGAGTATGAGTTTAATGAAGTTTAATGTAAATACGAAACCCTACACCTGAACTTCCAAAGTCTAAAACCTTATGCCCGTAAAGGAACCGCTTCGATCCCTTGTAGAATCCAAGCCCTGAGCCTCAAATTCTATCCCCAGAAGCCCAAAGCCCTAAACCCCAGAAGCCCTAATGAGGGAAGCCCGAGTCTTCGTACATGATCCGTACACCCTGAACTCTATCCTCTAAGACCCTACAGCCCTACAAACCTAAACCCTAAACCCTAAGAAAGCCTTACCGAGGAAAGCCCGAGTCTTTGTACAAACCACTGGTGGCCAAGCTTGGCGCAGACCCCTTGCGCGAAGACGCGGATCCGGAGAGCTTTGTCTCCGCCTGCGCCGCTGCAAAGAAGCCCGTGGGTACCGTTTTGAAACACGGCCTTAGATCTGAAAAATGTTTATTTTTTTAGGGTTTAGGGTTTAGGGTTTAGGGAAAAATGTGTTTTTTTGAGTCTGCGGTTACCGGACTAGGTTTTAGGGCTTCAGTGCGAGAGCTCGACCGCAATGGCGGCCAGCACATGAGTCGTTGTCACAGTACGTGTAGGGATCAATTGATGTAGGGCCTTACTTTCTGAAGCTGGCACTTGCCGCTTCTAGTCGTTGCTCAACTAAGGATGGACCAATCTGTGTGCGCAGGGGTTGGAAACATCTATCGCACCGAAATTTTGTACGAAGCTGCAATCCATCCCAATCAGCCGGCGAATACATTGACCAGGGCAGAGGTGTTGAAGCTCTGGAACACGGCCGTGAAGCAGATGCAAGCAGGCTCGTGCTGTGCCGGCTTGCTTGCAACAACCCTAAGCCAGGCTGAAAACAGCTGCTGATGGCAGAATGCATGGTATTTGTAGATATGTTTAAACCCCCCTAAACCCTAAACCCTAAACCCTAAACCCTACTGTAGCTGTGGGGGCATGATTCTGAGCTTTGAAGCTTTCAGGCGCTGGAGCCCTAAACGACACACTTTTGATTTGCCGAACAGGTCTGCAGCGCGTTTCGGTTCGCGGTTGGGAGCACGTTCGTGGTTTCAGTCCTAAGTCGCCGAAGGACCAGGTAAGACGGCCTGACAGGATCATTGGCATTGCCCCAGAGAGGTGAAGACCCCTCAATTAAGGAATATACCTTAAACTATAAGGGGCTTCCCTTTATGGTTTAAGCTATATTCCTTACTTAAGGGGTATTGGGCTTTCTGGGGAGGGAGTGCAGATTTTCATCATGATTGAGTTCCGTATCATCATCAACATCTTCATCATCGTGGCCACGACCGCCTGCATCATCGTCGGCAGCAGCAAAAACGGGTAGCATCATGAGAATCGAGCTTGTCCTTGAAAAAAACAGGCCAAGAACGAACACTCACGACCTCGACGATGTCCACGAACCCACCAGCAACGGCAACAACAGAAAATGACAACCACCGCCTGCATAGTGCTCTTGACAGGCTTTTGTTCTTGGTTTTTGAGGGTTTAGAGTTTCGGGGCTTGGAGTCTAGCTTTCAGGGGTGTCATGGCTTGTTTCCTCAGGTCCAGGTTAGAGATCAGCCTTGTGATTTTGTTATGACCTCCATGAAAGCCTGTTTCATTCTTAAATGGAAGTACCGACCCAATCATAAGACTGAGCATGGATAGATTGTGTCTTCGTAATTCCGACCTCCTCTATATCCGAGACCGTCCCTCAACCCTAAACTGACAAACCCTAAACTCTTTTAGCTATTCCTAAGAGCCCACTTGCAACTCACAACCGAAGCCTTGCGCTGGGGCAGGCTACAAGTCGGGTTCCATCTGGGGCGCGAAGGCCGGCAAGCCGAGTGGCTTTGGGGTTCTTGCAGTTATTGCTTTGGGTTCTTAAAGCTCTGGTTTTTGGGTTCTTAAAGGTTGGGGTGTTGGATTCTTGCAGTTTGGGGTGTTGGGTTCTGCAGGTTTGCGGGTTTTTGGGTCCTTAAAGCTTGGTGTTTTGGGTTCGGTTCGGGTTTGGGCAGGGGGTGCAGGCACATGCCACCTCAGCGTTTAGCGGCTTCGCGTGCAGGGCGTAGTGGTTGGGGTTGACGGTTCAGGGGCCACGCAGCCCTCTGAAGCCACCCAGGCAAGTTCGTTCTGCTATGACAAGAAGCAGTCGGCCTGCGGCGGAAAGGTGAAGCACTGGAAGATGGGAGGCCGACCTCGGCGGTAGCGGAATTGCTACGACGACGATTATGTTGATCGCCCTCTTTTGCCAGCATCCATTGCTGTCATATCATATTATTAATTATGATTGTTGCCGTGTTCGCTGCTTTGTTTGCCATTGCGACCTGCATCCTCGAATGTGTTGCTGGGTTGTCGTTAGGAGCAGAAATAGAAAGGACAGAGGTGATGATGGTACTAATGCTGTTGCTGACGTGGTGATGGTCATGATGTAGCATGCTTCTGAACGATGAAGAAAAACTGCACGGTGATGCTGATGATAACATCGCCAATCGCGAATGTTTTCGCTGCGTCTGCGGATGGTTCTGAAGACGAAGTGTGATGCCGTTAGTTAAACTAGAACGCCAAGGATTGCGTTTCTGATGTTGGTGTGACTGCAGTGCTGGTCATGATGATGCTACTGCTACTGATACTGCTACTGCTACTACTGCCTCTGCCACTGCGCCTGCGCCTGCGACCGCGACTGCGACTGCAACTGCGACAACAGCTACTACAACAACAGCAGCTACGACAACAACAACAACTACTACTACTACTACTACTGCTACTACTACTACCACCACCACCACAACAACAACAACAACAACTACTACTACTACTACTACTACTGCTACTACTACTCCTCCTACTCCT